ATGCAGAATTATTCAATGTATGATGTTCCTGTTTATGACAAAAGTACCAGAATCAGAATTCATAACTCACAAGGACTATGATATCAATAATTCGAACAGTTCACATCTCCAAGCAGAATTACAACAATTCACATTCCAAGGCAGATCAGGAATACTTACCAAACAGAATTTACAAGGTACATGCGCAACAATTCAGAATCTCAAGGACTAAATTAACAGTCACACAGATTAAGCTACCTACACATACCTTGATGCTTTAGAATTCCTACCAAAAGCAATCACCAATTCAGCCCCCTTTTGCTAGGGGTTTGCGCACCTAATGCATCAAAACAGAATTTCAATTCTTTATTTCCTATACTTACAAGCAATCTCTAAATCTACTAACCCTTGTATTTCTTCGGTTTCCATGACTCATATACCAACTACTTTTTCTGACTTCACACTAATTTATCAGCTTTTTAACAGCAATAAAATCCAAGGTTTCATTAGCATTCAGATTCGGTTTTGTGGACCATCCCCTAAGGACCCAAGATTTTCATTTGAATAATACTACTTGCGTGACTTAAGCATGATTTAATAGACTTTTAGTGTGTTGTCCACTAAGTTTGAACATGTGCAAGGTTACTAATTTTCTTTCTAATTCAGAGAACAATCCAACAACATAGGGTGAGTTATTTTCCAAGCTCCCAAGGTTAATTATCACGGCTTGCATGCACTAAAATGCCATCTGCTGTACGGCTGAACGGCAAGGAGAAAAAAGGATGACAAAACTAGCTTCCTAGAACATCTATGCAGGCCGAACAGAATGTGGAAGGAATGACAGAACAACAACAAAAACTAAACTAGTCGCAGATGGATCGGCGGGTTCTCCCTTCAGGGATCTTGAAGCGATGGATTAGGGTCAATATTATCTCCAAATTGTGCAGCCTTTACCAATATTGTATCCAATTGTAGTACGATTCATATATCTTGAAAGCAATTTATATCGAAGTATAATTAAGTCATTTAATTTCTAGATAGCCAAGTCCCACATCGAGAACATTCAAGGACTTGTTGCTTTTTATAAAAGAAAATTGAGAGCCGTAGATATCACCGAGCAAGGCAATGCTTGCTTGTAACCCAAGTGGGGGTATTAAAGTGGCGGAACATATTGCGCACTGTTTGGCTTAGCATTGGGTCTCGTGGGTGCGACAACAATGTAGGTACCACGGGGGAGTGTGCTGGACTCACCAAGGTCAATCCAGGGTTGTTGTCTTAACAGAGCAACGCCCTCCCGTTTATAGGAATAAAAGTAAGTTGCTGCAAAACACAGTCCACGAGCCTCGTTATGAGCCCATCTTTGATATGGACACTACAGCAAACGCGGCGTTCAGCCACGTTGGTTTTGCCACATTTAGTAAAATAATCATTGGAAAAAAATTATCCTAAATTGTATGCCTTTTAGAGAGAATCTGATTATCGTTTAGATTTTTTTTTCATTCAATTCTTACAGTAAGCACGATGATGTATTTTTATTATTCTAGTGATTTACTAGTCTCATTATTGGTCAGAGGAACTTGGAAGGTCTAAGTTCAGGCAACAATCATAATGGCATTCTGTAATAAGGTTGGAAATTTCTTGAAGCAGAGTGTTGCTCAGAGCAGACAAGCGCATGTTGCATCCAAGCTTAATTATATTCGCTGCATGTCCTCCAACAAGCTTTTCGTTGGAGGTATTGACTTTTGTTTGAAATATAGTTACGGACACAAACCGCATACTTAGATGCTAATTTTCTTATATTTTATTATTTTGGCTTTTACTATTTTAGGCCTTTCATATGGAGTTGATGACCAGTCTCTTAAGGATGCATTTGCCAGCTTTGGAGATGTGGTTGAGGGTGAGTGCAGCTTTTGAATTTAAGGCAACTAACTTTTTCCAGTCCCCTTTAAATCATTAGAAATTGTATTTACATTTCGGTGCACTATTACATGTTTGTTGGCAGCAGGAATTTGATGCAAAAGAATGAAGAAATTCTTTTACCATTATCTGTTATTATCAGATCAGGCGTGGCATCTGTATCTTGATTGTTGGAGTAATTAGAATTTTCTTGGAGCTGGTGCATTATATTAATGAAAATTGTTTTGGCTTTTTTTTTGTCATTCTTGCCCTCAAAGAAGACTACGGATTCTGTGAGGGAAAGCATGATCAAATACTTAACAGGTGAACTAACAAATTTATTTATTTTTCTTAGAGGATAGCAACTATAACGGATTCTGTTTTGTACTGCCAACTGAGGTGAATGGCTGAATACTCCCTAGTTGTTACTTGCTAGTCGCGACTGACCTCTCCTTCTTAAAGAACTATTTACGGTGATGAGTCAATTGACAATGGATATACAGAGATAGTCCACTGCTAATTAACAGAGCTAATACCTCAGATCATATAAAAAGGATGCTAGAATCAGTTGATGCGGAGGATGATACTGTGAGTATTTTTTTTGTCCTGCAATAAATTTGAGTGTATATATAAAAATGATTTATATAATAGTCAAAATTTAACATAATATGAAATTGATTTGTGCAGGTGTGATATGGTAGATGGCATTTCAAAGGACTATGATGGCTTACAAGAACAAATCTTAAATGGATGATAAGAAAAATTTGTACTATCGTATTTTATTTTTTTATTGAATGGAGAAAATAATTTTTTGTATAGAAGCCCCATAAGTAAACTTTTTATTAGTTTTATTTGGCGATTTTTTCCCACTATAATATTGGTAGAAAGCTTTATTAGCTTATATAAATTAAAAACATGATGGCTTGTACAAATTCTTCAGTGATAATAGAATATAATGTTTAGTGATTGATTCACATTTTAATTTGTTCACTAAATCGTGTTTGAGCTATTTTCAACATTATTTCCTTTATTATTGTAATATATCGAATTCATAATATTTTTAATTTTAAAAAGAAATTTCTTATATTTAGCCATGGTCATGAATGTGGCTAAAAAACATTTTAGGCACAAATAGCCACATTTTTTCTATTGTGGCAAACAAAACAGTTTAACCACATTTATAAAGTGGTTAAATTAACAATAAATGTGGCTAAAAAAAGGCTACCACACTCAATCAAAGCGTGGCAAAGTGATTAAAGTAATGTGGCTAAATTATAGCAACACCACTTCTAGCCACATTTAATCAAAATGTGGTAAATTATGTTAGCCACATTTTTTATCTATGTTTGTCTCGTTTTTAAATGTGGCTAATCGGAAATTTTTTTGTAGTGGGACCACCACTTTTGTTAAAAATAGTGGTCCGAATTTAGAGGAGAATATTTTATTTTTAATAATATACTATCACTAACTTTGGCAATTATGAAGAGTAAGAATTAGGTATATTTCTTGAATTTAAAAATCATGACATTTTCCTTTCTGTCACAAATGATATTCCTAAATAGATGATTTTTTTTATGAAATTATACATCGTTATTTCAAAACTAGTATGTCAAGTTTATTCATCCCTTTGCATATCAAATATGAAACACGTCTCGAAGATATGCACATTTTTCAGTAATGGCAGAATTAGATGAGTTGTCTATACTACTAGTCAAGGATTCAGACGTATTCGTACATTTTATTAATTATCCAAAAAATTAGCGACAAAATTATTCATTAACAAAATATCCATTTCTAAGCAACGAAAAAATAAGAAATTTTGCAAATTGGAAGATAATGGTCAGAGACGGAGAAAAAGGCCAAGGAGAGCCTTGCCTATGGAGTAATATTTCAAGTTCACCCACTTAAAATCATTATCTATGTGTATGAAGAAGAGGCTTCTGATCCTAAGTCAGAAAAACTTATTACACTTAGGAAGTTGAATATTGTATATGTTGGAATAGAAGGATTGTGTATTGATGTGAAGTTCAAAAAAGAATGAGAAGAAATTGTTTCGTTGATTTATGAAGTCAGTTTTGCATTGTGTATTGATATGTTAATTTTTTAAGGTTACAATATATATTTATTGTACACCGCTCGCTAAATGTATAAGCTTTTTTTAATACTTTATAATATATGATATGGACTTTTGCGCATTTAATATAATGATTAAGGAGATTTGATTTTGATATATTGTTTACTTTGATTATATTTTTTTTATCATGTGCAGTAAATAAAGTTGGTATTAATTTTGTAAAGAGAAATTTAAAAAAAAATTCTAAAATTTTTCGACGTAATTTATTTTTCCTCAACAACAATTTTTGATGGAATCCATTTTTCGTCGAAAACCATTACAACAATTTTCGACGAAATTCCATCATTGATTTTTCGTTGAAAGTTTTTGACGGAAATAACTTCCGTCGAAATTTTTTGACGGAAATAAATTCTGTCAAAAATATTATTATCAACGAAGAGATATTCGACGACTTATATTCTGATTTTCAACAGAAGTTATTTCCGTAAAAAAAATAGACTTTTCTAGTAGTGTTATACCTGCATAGAATCCATACTTGACAAACCTATGAACATAACACATGATCAAATCATTATCAAACTTGTCCCAAGATAATGACAATTGTTATTTTGGATAGAATTTACCGACGCAGCATAACGACTATATATTGGACTAACCAGGGATCTTGTCCCATTATTATTTTTCTCCTGAAATCCAGAAAAGTTCAATATACAAAATATGCATATGAATCCATCCATGGATTCCTACACAATTTAGCTCCGAGCCAATTTTTATCAAACTTAAAACTTTGTGTGATTACTGAAGCAAAGAAATAGAGAAAATGAATTATTCAATTTCATAATTGTAATCTTCTTGAACGAATTTAATTGCTTAACGTTTCAACATGTTGAGATAAAAACTTGTGTCAAGAAATTATGAAAACAAAAATATATAGCCCAACTTAGAGATCTGGGGAGATAAGATGGGGGAGAGCGATCTAGAAAAGGAGAATAAAATTTAAAACCAACGGTAGACGATTTAACATAAAATTATCCAAAATACATATATGCCTTTGTAACACAAACACTTATTTCTGTACTAAAAAAAAGAAGAAAAAAAACACAGACACTTATTTAAATATTTGAAAACCTTCAAGCATTTAGACAAGTAGACAGAATTGGTGAACCAAAGCAAAACTCTTAAGGAATGTAAGCATTTGGGGGTAACCTTGGGGTAACAATAGCAGAAAGAGGGACCTGTTTCTGTAAGGCAAGCCCAAAGGCCTCTTCCATGTTCAACTCCCCAACACCATTTGGTAGCTTCCATTCAAATGAATGCACCAATGTGCCCAAAATGTAATGAACAAGCACAATCCCCATCCTAGTCCCAGCACAAATCCTTCTCCCAGCACCGAATGGAATTAGCTCAAAATCATTTCCACGTGGATCAATTTTGGCATTTTTCCCACTGAGAAACCTTTCTGGATTAAAATCCAATGGGTTATCCCACACATCAGGATCTCGTCCTATGGCCCATATGTTCACACTCAGCCTAGTGTTCTTGGGGATGTAATAGTCATTCACTTGGCATGGTTCCGCAGAGATTCGAGGCAAGTTCAGTGGGGTTGATGGATGCTTTCTGAATGTCTCTTTGCAAATTGCTTGCAAATAAGGAAGCTTCTGCAGATCAGATTCTTGGAGGCGTCGTTGCTTGCCTATGACTTGGTCCATTTCTTCATGAGCTCTTCGCATGATTCTCGGGTTTTTCAACATCTCTGCTAGTGCCCACTCTATGATACTGGAAGATGTATCAGTTCCTGCGGTGAATAGATTCTATTCCATGCGAGCATATAGGTAGTTAGAAAAAAATCTCAAACTATAAACATTATTAAAAAAAAAAAAAAAAAAACATAAAAAAGACAAACCCGATATATAGGGTCTATTGGGAGGGTAGGGATGAGAGTTCAATATTTATAGCCTTATCCTTATACTTTTACGTTCATTATAGCCAGCTTTATCTTTATATTTTTGCAAAAAAATAAAAATAAAACTTATTTTTTAAATTCAAATTAATAACCTTCCTATTAAAAGAAACAACTTTATCGTGCTCTCTTGAGACATCACTTTCCGTGGTTCCAATTCCTAAAGCTCTTACCCAATGTAGGGGCACGCTTAGCTAACATTTTAATGTACCCGAGCTCTTGCCCATTTTAATGTACTTAAGCTTATACCCAAGAAAATAATAGCTTATAGACTGCTTTGTTTAGTTTCATTCTACTTATCAAATATCAACGTCATGTTTTCATTCTATTTATTTGGTATTTTGTAAACATTTTAATGCTAGAAGAGAAAGAGAATAAAATACGTCATAGTTAGGTAAAGAAAAAATATTCACAGTAAATTAAGAAAAGAAAGGTAAAAGAATAACTATTATATTTTATACAAAATAGAAGAAAATTTTTTTAAACAACATTTAAATATTATGATATAATTTTTTTTTATTTTCCTTAACTGGGAAAAATTATGAAGATGTTAAAATTATCACGTAGAGTTAAAAAAAAATACGTGAATGAAATATTGGCCTAAAGATAACTTATAAGATGTTATATAGAAAGTATAAGGCACGCAACACATGTTTTTAGAATCTATCCTTGCCCCGTTGCTTTAGTCCAGTTATTGCGTTTGGATTATATAATTGCACTTTCAGTTAATTTGTTTTAGTTTAAAGTAAAACAAATAAAAAATAAAACAGAAAGACAAAATTCAGAAGTGAGCAAAGGGTTATACCAAGAGCAGTGCCTTGATGTTGGTGAGTGTTAGTCTCTCCCCATCAGAGCTTTCTCTATGATGAGTCATGACAACGTCTAAGAAATCAGGTTTAACCTTTCTTTTATGACTAGAAGCCGCATGTTCCTCGATCATCTTTGTCAACAACAAATCAAACTTCTTGTGTAAGATCTTCATTCCACGCTCTATGCCTTGCAAGTCCAACCATGCAAGAGAAGGTATAAAATCACCAATGTTAAAGTACCCAGCAGAGGTCATGAGCTCAACAACCATGTCTTTGAACTCATTTGACTCAGAACCTTTTGACTCAAACACACGACGACTTAGTATCACTTGACCAATCATATTAGCCATGGCATAAGTCAACATCTCAGCCACCCCAACAGCCTCACCTTTCTTGCTACAATCATACATTGCACGAAGCATATACCCCATCTCTTGGTCTCGAACTTGTGCCCAATCATCGAGAGCCTTTCCACCAAGCATGTGCAAGTTGCTTAGTTTCCTAAGCAACTTCCACCTAGACCCATAATCAGCAAACACCATGTCCTGTGCATCATAAGCTAAGTGAGTTGCTCCAGCATTTGGAGGACGGTTTGAGAAGTTTTGGTCAAGGGTTTTGAGAAATGCACGCGCTGCAGCAGGAGTAGAAGCCACAACCATGCTATTTGTGCCCATTTTGAGGTACATAACGGGTCCATATTTTTTGGCCATTTTTGAAAGGGTGACATGAGGCATGCTTCCCATGAGTGGAAGTGCACCTAAAACTGGCCAACCTCTTGGTCCAGGTGGGAGTTTTCGGTGTTGGTTTTTGAGAAGTGAACGAAAAGAGAAACGGGTAATCAAGAAGATCAAAATGGACACAGCAATTTCTTTGAGAAGGAACAGAAAATCGAGGTTGGCCATAGTGAGGCTCGCTAGCTAGTAGCTATGAAGCGTGTGTGACTGTGAACTACGTACTGATGACTCAAGAAAGGAGTACTGAGATATTTAACATGCGTGTCAAATACCGTTAGGAAGAGTCCTTCACGCATGTCACGTTTCCACCAATGTTTACCAAACAAGGACAGTGGAGTTTATCCTGCTTCGTGCAGTATTTGCCCTATATTTTCCTGTTTTCAGCAGTTGCTAAATGCTGATTTCATTCATTCCTAGCTACCAAAGAATTCTAAAAAAAGAAATGAGATTCTTACATATTTTCATTATACTATATTTTACATTCTTTTAACGAGTATTTATTACCTTGCTAATTGTAATGCACTGTTTGTGCGGAACAATATTAACTAGACACACTTTCGCATACACATTTTTCCATAATATTTTACAAACTATATATTAAACTTATTCAACCAACAATCTATTTATGGTTGACTATGGAGTTTATGGCAGAAATTTTGATAAATGATAAGTACTTAAGTGATTAATGATGGGTACGTTAGGGCGTGTGTGAGACTTATTATTATTATAAAAAGTAATTTATTAACACGTTTTCAAAGTTGTCAACAAAGAATGATAACTTATTGAAAAGATGTTATCAAGCTTTCTCTCTTGTCAAAATTATTCGGACACTAGTATCTTTTTCAAAAAAAAAAATTAAATATCTTGTTAATGACTTAAGGAAAACAAATAAATAAATAAATAAATTTGAACTAGTAGCAAGCATAAGCACTTGATCATAATTGATTTTTATTTTGGGAAGAAAAAATTGAGAGTAAATGGCAAATGTTTCTTTGTACGGTCAGAATAGATATTTGAACTTAGCGATTTATAGAAGTAGGGAAATTTTTATCCTCAGAGTACACTCCAAAGGCTATTCCACTTATTGAAAGGGCAGGTGCATTGAGCTTCGCCATCAGAAAAAAGATGAGACTAATCCTCTAATCCAGGAGAGAGGCATAATTTGAACACTTGTCTCAATCAAATCCTTAGAAGCTCAATTACCAACTGAGCTACTTTGGGAGAAGTAGGGAAAATTTAATTCACTGGTTTGCTATTACAAAGTTGTGTCAACCATTAATGTCCTCACAGTTAAATTAGTAAGATTTTTTAATGAATTGGGTTTTCATAAACCTTTCTGAATTTGGAAATTGATTAATCCTTGCAAACTAGGAAAGTGGCAAATCTGGGGGCAGGTGAGCTGATATAAAGTGTGCAACCAAAAAGTCCAAGTCCAACCTAACAAGTGCAAGTGATTGCAGCTAACGTTCTTTTGTGGAAGAATAGCTTCTTCTTTTCTTTTTCTTTTTTTGTATAAAGTGGAAGAATAGCTTTTTAAAAACACGATGATTGATTTCAGGCTAAAAGTGAGTTCAGTGATTTTTACCATAACCGTAAAGGGAAACCTTACTGAAGTGATGTTTAGCAGTGGAAAGTCCAAATTTATTGTGGTAGATGTTACAGGTGTCGCAACTTGCGAGTTCATAGCCTCATTTTTTAACGGGGTTACTCTGCTACCCATATTTTCTTAAAGTATCAGTGCTTGATTTATTTGTAAAATATTTATTATGAATTTAATGTTTGTTATTTTATACGAGATAAATTTATTTTATACCCAAACATAAAAGTGTATACGGTTCATATAGAGTAGGGGTGCTGATCAGACCAAATACAATATGGACTGGCAAAAATGTAAGAACTCGCGTTAATTAAGGAATTTAATTAAATAAATAAGATTATTAGGAAATAATTCCATAATTGACCCTAGTAATTATTACGAGGCTTAAATAATTATGGTAAGTGATTAATAATGTTGAAAGTCATTTTTCTGACGAAAGGTGCAGATACTGGTTCTGCTTCGCGGTATAAATGTGTACCGGTGAAGTATCCCGAAAAATTATAATAAATGTATGAATATTCCTATATTAATATTTAGGACTGGAATATCAAGTTTGAAGTCAAAATAATGAGAACTGGTGTCAAAGCTAATACTGTCAGCGTGAAAAATGCGTACCGAAAAAGTGTTGCAAAAAAATAAAATAAAAATATTAAAATTCCTAGAAAAATATCTAGGTTAAGAATCTAAAATTTTAGAGTTAAACGAAGTGCGGAACTAATTAAACTAATACTGTTAGTTTACCTTAAGTGACAATATAAAAAGAAAAGGGGATCAAAACCCTAGTTTTTTTTTTAAGAAACTTAGCAGCTGAGTGTGGTTTCCCTTTGGAGTTTCTTGGAGTCTTAGCTTTCTTCTCCAAAGTTTTCATTTTTCTCCTTTTCTCCTCCATTGAAATATCACCTAACCATTAAAGCTCTAGTCTTGTTGAAGGAGAAACCATTGTTGAAGGTTTTGGGTGTTTTCTCAACTCCTAAAGCTTTCATTTTTCTGTTCTAAAAAGGAACCACGGTAAACTTAACTATCCCTTTTGTGAATTCATAATTTTGAATATAATCTTTATTATATGTTACTGTTGACTCACAACTCATATTAATTTAAAAATCATTAGCATATGTTACTGTTATTGTGCGTTATCTCTGTAGATGGCCATTGTTTGGTCACTTTTGTTTTATCGGTTGTTGTGAATTCTAAATAAAAGTCTGCACTTTTGTGTAAGAAATCGGTCACTGTTAGTGAAGATGGATAATGTTTTTCTGAATCTATATGTCCAAGTTGCTTTTATATATATATATATATATATATATATATATATATATATATATATATATATATATAAAAGTTTGTTTACTTTCGTACAGGGAGAGTACAGGGAGCCGTATATATAAAAGTTTATTTACTTTCGTACAGGGAGCCGTGTATAGACTTTAGTTTCGTTTATATATATATATATATATATATATATATATATATATATATATATAGATATATATATATATATATATATATATATAAATAAATATATTTTGTGGTTATATATATATATATATTTATAAAATAATAATTATCTAAAATTAATTAAGTTAAACGATATATTTTAGAAATGATCTCCAGGTTCGAAATGAAAAAGAAAATAATACCCGATTTTCTTGGAATTTTAGAATATGTATATTGATACTGTGATGGTCATTGAACCAGATCTGTGAGCGCATTGGATTCTATTTGTGGTGTGGACCCTTGTGATACCGAGTTAGGAGAGCCTTGAGAGAAGGGGCATTTGGTTATCTCATGTTGGGAGGTTTGGTGAGTGGGACACAGGAGGATTTCGCTGGCATTTCTGTGGTTGGAGAATTCCTCGAGGTGTTTTGTGAGGAGATTCCTGAGTTTCCGCCACAGCGGGAGATAGAGTTCTCTATAGATTTGTTTCCTGGTGTGGGGCCTATTTCATTAGCTCCATATCGGATGTCGCCACTAGAGTTGCCAGAGCTGAAGAAGCATATTGAGGATCTTTCAGCGAAAGACTTCATTCGACCGAGTGTGTCTCCATGGGGAGCACCGGTCATCTTTGTGAAAAAGAAAGATGGGACTATGGGATTGTGAACTGACTACAGGCAGCTGAACAAGGTGACAATCAAGAACAAATATCCCCTTCCGCGTATTGATGATTTGTTGGATCAGCTCAGGGGTGCTTGTGTGTACTCGAAGATTGATCTCCGGTCCGGATACCATCAGATTCGGGTGAAACCGGAGGATGTCCCAAAGACCGCGTTTCGTTCGAGATACGGTCACTATGAGTATATGGTGATTCCTTTTGGACTCACCAATGCACCTGCAGTGTTCATGGATTACATGAACAGAATTTTCCAGCCGTATTTGGATCAGTTTGTGATCGTCTTCATTGACGATATCTTTATTTACTCTAAGACTGAGGAGGAGCATGCTGAGCACCTGAGGATTGTGTTGCAAGTGCTTAAGGAGAAAAAGCTTTATGCTAAGCCTTCGAAATGTGAGTTTTGGCTCAAGTCTGTGAAGTTTCTTGGGCATGTGATTTATGCTGAGGGAGTTACAGTGGATCCCAACAAGATTGAGGTCGTGTTAGATTGGGAGAGGCCCAAGACAGTTACTGAGGTGAGGAGTTTCTTGGGTTTGGCAGGTTACTACCGGAGGTTCATTAAATGATTCTCCACGATGGTTCTACCATTGACTCGCCTTACTCGGAAGGAGATTCCATTTGTGTGGACTCACGAGTATGAGGAATGCTTTCAGGAGTTGAAGGAGAGACTGACGACTGCACCTGTGTTGGTCCTTCCTGATCCTGCTGAGGAGATTGAGCTTTACACTGACGCCTCCGGAAAGGGGCTGGGCTGTGTGTTGATGCAGTTGGGCAAAGTGATTGCCTATGCTTCGAGGCAGCTGAAGCCTCATGAGGAGAACTACCCAACTCATGATTTGGAGTTGGCTGCTATTGTTTTTGCTTTCAAGATTTGGAGGCATTATCTGTTCGGTATGAAGTTTGCCGTGTTCAGTGATCACAAGAGTTTGAAGTATCTGTTTGATCAGAAGGAGCTAAACATGAGACAGAGGAGATGGATGGAGTATCTAAAGGACTACGACTTTGAGTTCAAGTACCATCCTGGCAAGGCCAATGTGGTAGCTGATGCTCTGAGTCGGAAATCCGTGAGTCTTTCCAGTTTGATGATTGGTGACTATGATATTATTAAGAAGTTTTGAGATCTGACGGTGACCTCTTTGTTTGGGGGTGCACTTCTCGAAATGGAGACCGTTAGGGTTGAGAATGAGCTCATGGAAAAGATTAAAGAGACGCAAGTGCAAAGAGAGTGTCTGGATTACGTGAAGAACCAAGATGGTTTGTCTTGGAATGAGGATGGTTTGATGACTTTCCAAAAGAGGATTGTGATTCCTCGAGGTCCTTTGACCAAAGAGGTGATGGAGAGGCCCACAAGGGCCAATTTACTATACACTCTGGTGCTACAAATATGTATCAGGACTTGAAGAGAAGTTTCTGGTGGCCGGGAATGAAGAAGGACATAGCGGTCTATGTGTCCAAGTGTTTGATTTGCCAGAAGGTGAAGATAGAACACCTGAAGCCGTCTGGTAAGCTTCAACCTCTTGAGATTCCGAAATGGAAATGGGAGAGCATTTCCATGGACTTCGTGGTGGGTTTACCGAAGACTCAGGGTGGTTGTGACTCTTTCTGGGTCATTGTAGACAGACTGACCAAGTCTGCCCATTTTCTTCCAGTAAAGGTGAGCTTCACTACTGAGCAGTTGGCCAGACTTAATCTTCGCGAGATTGTGAGGCTTCACGGGGTGCCCGAGAGTATCATCAGTGATAGGGCCCCAAAGTTCACATCTCGGTTCTGCGAGGCGTTGCAGGGAGCTTGTGGTACTCAGTTGAGATTGAGTACAACCTATCACCCTCAGACTGATGGACAGACTGAGCGGACCATCCAGACCTTGGAGGACATGTTGAGGGCTTGCACATTGGAGCAGAGTTCAGCATGGGATAGGTACCTGCCATTGGTTGAGTTTTCTTACAACAACAGTTTCCATGCTAGCATGGGCATGGCACTCTACGAGGCACTGTATGGTAGGAGGTGTCGGACTCTTACCTATTGGTCTGAGGTTGGAGATAAGGAGTTATTTGGCTTGGACTTTGTCCAAGATACTACCCAGCAGATCCAGATGATCAGGGAAAAGCTGAAGCAGACGCAGAATCGCCAGAAGAGCTATTAAGATGTCAAGCATCGACCACTGGAGTTCAGTGAGGGTGAGATCGTGTTTGTGAGACTATCATCTGTCACTGGTGTTGGTCGGGCCCTCGGAGTGAGGAAGCTTAGCTCGCGATTCATTGGGCCATACCAGATTCTTCGTAGGGTAGGGCCTGTTGCCTACCGGCTTACCTTGCCTCCAAACTTGGCCAACATCCACGACGTGTTTCACGTGTCTCAGCTTTGGAGATACATAGCAGATCCATCGCAAGTGGTGCAACCCGATGATATGGAGGTTCGGGAGAACCTAAAGACTCCCGTTGGACCACTCAAGATTCTCGATCGTGGCGAGAAGCAGCTGAGGAGCAAGACCATTCTAATGGTCAAGGTGCAGTGGACAGGATGAACTCCTGAGGAGTGCACTTGGGAGCGTGAGGACGAGCTTCTCCGGCAGTACCCTGAGTTTCGAGACAAGTATGTTTCTGATTTTGAGGACAAAATCCTTAAAAAGGTGGGGTGAATGTAAGAACCTGCACCTTTAATTAAGGAAATTAATTAAATAAATATGATAATAAGAAAATAATTCCATAAATGACCCTAATAATTATTATGAGGCTTAAATAATTATGGTAAGTGATTAATAATGTTGAAAGTCGCTTTTCTGACGAAAGGTGCAGATATTGTTTCTGCTTCACGGTTTAAATGCGTACCGGTGAAGTATCCCAAAAAATTATAATAAATGCATGAATATTCCTAGATTAATATTTAGGACTGGAATATCAAGTTTGAAGTCAAAATAATGAGAACTAGTGTCAGAGCTAATACTGTCAGCGTGAAAAGTGCGTACCGAAAAAGTGTTTCAAAAAAATAAAAATAAAAATATGAAAATTCCTACAAAAATATCTAGGTTAATAATCTAAAATTTTAGAGTTAAACGAAGTGCGAAACTAATTAAACTAATATTGTTAGTTTACCTTAAGTGACAATATAAATAGAAAAGGGGATCAAAACCCTAGGTTTTTTTTTTAAGAAACTTAGCAGCTGAGTGTGGTTTCCCTTTGGAGTTTCTTGGAGACTTAGCTTTCTTCTCCAAAGTTTTCATTTTTCTCCCTTTCTCCTCCATTGAAACATCTCTCAACCATTAAAGCTCTAGTCTTGTTGAAGGAGAAACCATTGTTGAAGGTTTTGAGTGTTTTCTCAACCCCTAAAGCTTTCATTTTTCTGTTCTAGAAAGGAACCAAGGTAAACTGAATTATCCCTTTAGTGAATCCATAATTTTGAGTATAATCTTTGTTATATGTTACTGTTGATTCAGAACTCATATTAATTTAAAAATAATTCGCATATGATGCTGTTATTGTGCGTTATCTCTGTAGATGGCCATTGTTTGGTCACTTTTGTTTTATCGGTTGTTGTGAATTCTAAATAAAAGTCTGCACTTTTGTGTAAGAAATCGGTCACTGTTAGTGAAGATGGATAATGTTTTTCTGAATCTACATGTCCAAGTTGCTTTTATATATATATATATATATATATATATATATATATATAAAAGTTGGTTTACTTTCGTACAGGGAGTCGTATATATAAAAGTTTGTTTACTTTCGTACAGGGAGCCGTGTATAGACTTTCGTTTCGTTTATATATATATAATAAATAAATATATTTTGTGGCTATATATATATATATTTATAAAATAATAATTATCTAAAATTAATTAAGTTAAACAATATATCTTAGAAAGGATCTCCAGGTTCGAAATGAAAAAGAAAATAATACCCGATTTTCTTGGAATTTTAGAATATGTATATTGATACTGTGATGGTCATTGAACCAGATCTGTGAGCGCATTGGATTCTATTTGTGGTGTGGAACCTTGTGCTACCGAGTTTGAGTCGGAGGGGCATACGGATACAGGTAAGTTTTCGTGTCCTCGGATTGATCTGTTGTTTGTTCCACCGACCTCCTTGGGAGGGTGGTTTATATGCATGGCATGCTTTTATGAAAATGTTATATGCATTGATATATGCCTGAGATATGTGAATATGTCTGTTGATTACTTACACAATCAGACTGCGACTCTAGTGTGTAAGGCATGTAGGGTATGGAAGTGATGTTGTTTACTTACACAATCAGACAGCGACTCTGGTGTGTAAGGCATAAGACTGCGACTATTATGTTTAGATGGGTCGCAGACGTGCATAATCCCTATCCTATTCCCTGGCCAGTCGAACCGCATTTGCATACATCACATGATTACTGAGTTAAATGTTAGCTCGTTGAGCAAGAGATTATGATGTCATGAAATATATGCTTAACATGAACATGCATTGAAATTACTGTTTTGAACTTATATTATGCCTGTAAGTGAGCTTGGGGGAAGAGTCCTTAAGGACCCCTTGTCTTACTGAGATTTCGTTGTAGAGATCTCACCCCACGTTTGGGGCACATTTTTCAGGATCAGGTACCTCAGAGGTTAATACCTCAGGCGGCAGGAGGCCGGAGCTGAGTTGAGATTTATGTTTTTATGATGATATGCTTGGATGCTGACATGTTTTACATTTATTATCATGTTATTGGATTTGAGACTCTGTTGGGCTTTGTTGCCATATTTGGTGAGCATGGGGATTGTTCATGCCACATTGATGTTAGTTATGCTTGTAGTTTTGAGTTGTATAAACTATCAGGATGGTCCGGTCTACGTGTTGTAGTTCCGTGACTAGAGACACAGTTACTTAATATATGAGGTATTTCAGTTGGTTGATTGATTGCAAATTACATACAGGCATTGTTTTGGAAATGAATTAAGTAATTCAACTTGGTAATGATAATGACGTCATAATTGAAAAGAAAAAGTTATTCCACATTCTTTTAAATTAAGTGTGGCTTAATCCGATGACATGTTAACAAACCGGGTATACACGGGATGTTACATTTTATGGTATCAGAGCACCTTCTAGGGAAAAGCCTGTATGTATTGCAATGACTTAGGATTTCTGCAGTGTGTTTTGTCTGTTGTGTTTCCTTTGGGTTTTACTATGATGATGCATGCGTGACCACATTGCGTGGGCCTGATCAACTCATTCTTTGTGTAACTTTTGCAGAGTCATGGTACTACCTCGGAGGGACCGAGAGACACGTGAGGGTCAACCCGACCCGGTCCTGGCTGCATTGGCTGAGATGCAGGCGGCTCGACAAGCCGACCAGGAAGCCGTGAGAGTGGCTAACCAGGCTATGCTGGACGCTGTCAAAGAGGCGAATAGGAAAGCCACAGAGGATGTGTTGGAGGCTAATCGTCTGGCTAACATGACCATGGTGAGGGTCATGCTGGAGGAGATGAGGACTGGTCCTGTTGGTGGCCAGCATCCTCCGCCACCACCTCCACTGCCACCACCACCATTGCCTCCACCCAGTCATCAAGACGAGAGTCAGAGCAACATTGAGGGTGCCACTCATCTTACTGGGATGATGCAGCCCTACCTCGAGCCTGTTGAGGATAGAGATGAGATTGACCGCCGGCTGAATGCTTTCCATAAGCATAAGCCACCTTCTTTTGATGGATCGTATGATCCTATTGCTGCAGCGAGATGGCTTAGGCCCTGGACAAGATATTCAGGGTGATGCAGTGTACTGACCCACAGAAGTTGATGTTTGCTACTTACATGTTGGAGGGCGACGCTCACGAGCGGTGGACGAACACCTCTCTGGCTTATGAGATGCAGGGTCATGTCATGACATGGCCATTCTTTGAAGACTGCTTCCTAGGGAGATATTTTCCCTACGACGCGCAGGAGCGTAAGCAAGGGGAGTTTGATCACCTGGTACAAGGCTCGTTGTCTGTAGACGACTACTTGGCTAAGTTCAATGAACTGGCTAAGTTTGCACATTTCCGTATTGCCATGCCTACTCCAACATTTTTGGCTGCTAAGTTCCGCAGGGGACTTAATGAGGAGATAGCTGACAGGATTGCTGGAGCGGCATCTAGAGACTTCGGCACTTTGATTCAGCAGTGTCGAGACATTGAGGACGTTTGCATTGTGAGTAAGGCTAAGAGGGCCAAGGTAGCTGAGTTTAAGGGAACCAGCGGTTCCACTTCCTGGAAGGACAGGAAGTTCGGTGGAAAAGGGAAGGGGAAGCAGTTGGCTGCTAGGCAGGCGCCTAGTCAGTTCAAGAAGACTTCTTCACAACAGGGAGGTTTTGCTAGACCTCTTTCTACACCTAGATGTGTAGGATGCGGAAAGGAGCATGTTGGATGTTGTGCTATTAGAGAGCTGCTATGTTTCAAGTGTGGAAAGAGTGGCCATATGGCCAAGGATTGTTATACTTCAGTTGCTGGGGCCTATTTCATTAGCTCCATATCGGATGTCGCCACCAGAGTTGGCAGAGCTGAAGAAGCATATTGAGGATCTTTCAGCGAAAGACTTCATTCGACCGAGTGTGTCTCCATGAGGAGCACCGGTCATCTTTGTAAAAAAGAAAAATGGGACTATGCGATTGTGCACTGACTACAGGTAGCTGAACAAGGTGACAATTGAGAACAAGTATCCCCTTCCGCGTATAGATGATTTGTTGGATCAGCTCAGGGGTGCTTGTGTGTACTTGAAGATTGATCTCCGGTCCAGATACCATCAGATTCGGGTGAAGCCGGGGGATGTCCCAAAGATTGCGTTTCGTTCGAGATACGGTCACTATGAGTATATGGTGATTCCTTTTGGACTCACCAATGCACCCGCAGTGTTCAAGGATTACATGAACAGAAATTTCCAGCCGTATTTGGATCAGTTTGTGATCGTCTTCATTGACGATATCTTTATTTACTCCAAGACTGAGGAGGAGCATGCTGAGCATCTGAGGATTGTGTTGCAAGTGCTGAAGGAGAAAAATTTTTATGCTAAGCCTTCGAAATGTGAGTTTTGGCTCAAGTCTGTGAAGTTTCTTGGGCATGTGATTTATGCTGAGGGAGTTGCAGTGGATCCCAACAAGATTGAGGCCGTGTTAGATTGGGAGAGGCCCAAGACGGTTACTGAGGTGAGGAGTTTCTTGGGTTTGGCAGGTTACTACCGGAGGTTCATTAAGGGATTCTCCACGATGGTTCTACCATTGACTCGCCTTACCCGGAAGGAGACTCCATTTGTGTGGACTCACGAGTGTGAGGAATGCTTTCAGGAGTTGAAGGAGAGACTGACGACTGCACCTGTGTTGGTCATTCCTGATCCTGCTGAAGAGATTGAGCTTTACATTGACGCCTCCGGAAATGGGGCTGGGTTGTGTGTTGATGCAGTTGGGCAAAGTGATTGCCTATGCTTCGAGGCAGTTCAAGCCTCATGAAAAGAACTACCCAACTCATGATTTGGAGTTGGCTGCTATTGTTTTTGCTTTCAAGATTTGGAGGCATTATCTGTTCGGTATGAAGTTTTCCGTGTTCAGTGACCACAAGAGTTTGAAGTATCTGTTTGATCAGAAGGAGCTGAACATGAGACAGAGGAGATGGATGGAGTATCTGAAGGACTACAACTTTGAGTTGAAGTACCATCCTGGTAAGGCTAATGTGGTAGCTGATGCTCTGAGTCAGAAATCCGTGAGTCTATCCAGTTTGACGCTGGGTGACAATGATATTATTGAAAAGTTTCAAGATCTGACGGTTACCTCTTTGTTTGGGGGTGCACTTCTCGAAATGGAAACCGTTAGGGTTGAGAATGAGCTCATGGAAAAGATTAAAGAGGCGCAAGTGCAAAGAGAGTGCCTGGATTACGTGAAGAACCAAGATGGTGTGTCTTGGAATGAGGATGGTTTGATGACTTTCCAAAAGAGGATTGTGATTCCTCGAGGTCCTTTGACCGAAGAGGTGATGGCAGAGGCCCACAAGGGCCAATTTACTATACACCCTGGTGCTACAAAGATGTATCAGGACTTGAAGAGAAGTTTCTGGTGGCCGGGCATGAAGAAAGACATAGCGGTCTATGTGTCCAAGTGTTTGATTTTCCAGAAGGTGAAGATAGAACACCAGAAGCCGTCTGGTAAGCTTCAACCTCTTGAGATTCCAAAATGGAAATGGGAGAGCATTTCCATGGACTTCGTGGTTCGTTTGCCGAAGACTCAGGCTTGTTGTGACTCTATCTGGGTCATTGTACACAGATTGACCAAGTCTGCCCATTTTCTTCTAGTAAAGGTGAGCTTCACTACTGAGCAGTTGGCCAGACTTTATGTTCGCGAGATTGTGAAGCTTCACGGGGTGCCCGAGAGTATCATCAGTGATAGGGACCCAAAGTTCACATTCTCGATCGTGGCGAGAAGCAACTGAGGAGCAAGACCATTCTGATGGTCAAGGTGTAGTGGACAGGACGAACTCCTGAGGAGTGCACTTGGGAGCGTGAGGACGAGCTTCTCCGGCAGTACCCTAAGTTTCGAGACAGGTATGTTTCTGATTTTGAGGACAAAATCCTTAAAAGGGTTGGGTGAATGTAAGAACCCGCACCGTTAATTAAGCAAAATTAATTAAATAAATATGATAATTAGGAAATAATTTCATAATTGACCCTAGTAATTGTTATGAGGCTTAAATAATTATGGTAAGTGATTAATAATGTTGAAAGTCACTTTTCTGACGAAAGGTGCAGATACTGGTTCTGCTTCGCGGTATAAATGCGTACCGGTGAAGTATCCCAAAAAATTATAATAAATGCATGAATATTCCTAGATTAATATTTAGGACTGGAATATCAAGTTTGAAGTCAAAATAATGAGAACTGGTGTCAGAGCTAATACTGTCAGCTTTGAAGTAAAAATATGAAAATTCCTAGAAAAACATCTAGGTTAAGAATCTAAAATTTTAGAGTTAAACGAAGTGCGGAACTAATTAAAATAATACTGTTAGTTTACCTTAAGTGACAATATAAATAGAAAAGGGGATCAAAACCCTAGGTTTTTTTTTTAAGAAACTCAGCAGCTCAGTGTGGTTTCCCTTTGGAGTTTCTTGGAGTCTTAGCTTTCTTCTCCAAAGTTTTCATTTTTCTCCCTTTCTCCTCCATTGAAACATCACCTAACCATTAAAGCTCTAGTCTTGTTGAAGGAGAAACCATTGTTGAAGGTTTTGGTTGTTTTCTCAACCCCTAAAGTTTTCATTTTTTGTTCTAAAAATGAACCAAGGTAAACTTAACTATCCCATTTGTGAATCCATAATTTTAAGTATAATCTTTGTTATATGTTACTGTTGATTCAGAACTCATATTAATTTAAAAATCATTAGCATATGTTACTGTTATTGTGCGTTATCTGTGTAGATGGCCATTGTTTGGTTACTTTTATTTTATCGGTTCTTGTGAATTCTAAATAAAAGTCTGCACTTTTGTGTAAGAAATCGGTCACTGTTACTTCGAACCGCATTTTCATACATCACATGATTACTGAGTTAAATGTTAGCTCGTTGAGCAAGAGATTATGATGTCATGAAATATATGCTTAATATGAACATGCATTGAAATTACTGTTTTGAACTTATATTATGCTTGTAAGTGAGCTTGGGGCGGAAGAGTCCTTGAGAACCCCTTGTCTTACTGAGATTTCTTTTTAGAGATCTCACCCCACGTTTGGGGCACACTTTTCAGGATCAGGTACCTCAGTGGTTAATACCTCGGGCGGCAGGAGGCCGGAGCTGAGTTGAGATTTATGTTTTTACGATGATATGCTTGGATGCTGACATGTTTTACATTTATTATCATGTTATTGGATTTGAGACTCTATTGGGATTTGTTGCCATATTTGGTGAGCATGGGGGTTGTCCATGCCACATTGATGTTAGTTATGCTTGTAGTTTTGAGTTGTATAAACTATCAGGATGGTCCGGTCTACGTGTTGTAGTTCCGTGACTAGAGACACAGTTACTTAATATATGAGGTATTTCAGTTAGTTGTTTGATTGCAAATTACATACAGGCAATGTTTTGGAAATGAATTAAGTAGTTCAACTTGGTAATGATAATGACGTCATAATTGAAAAGAAAAAGTTATTCTGCATTCTTTTAAATTAAGTGTGGCTTAATACGATGGCATGTTAACAAACCGGGTATACACGGAGTGTTACACAAAGTATATCGGGCCTAATCACACACGGTTGATGTTGTGAGGATGCAATGATCAGACCAAATACAATATGGATTGGCCAAAGTATATCGGGCCTAATCACACACGGTTGATGTGGTGAGGATGCTCTTCTTCTTGGGCTTGAGGTTGCTGATGATAGAATACAGACTTTGCTCCTTTGTTATCGTGATCCTTGAATCAGGATGTGGGGGGTACCTGCGATGACACTCTGATGCTTAAGTCAGTATCAGTTGCAGGTGTGAGTATATTCTTAATGAATTAGATGATCATACCTGCACATGTACCCTCGTTTTATATAGTGGTTCTGTTGCCGCCCTCTGAAGGCGATATGGCCTCTGAGTAGCTGCTTCTATGCTGCAGGTTTGGCTAGAGCCTGAATAGCCTTATCTTCTTAATGTTGAGCTATCCTGATAGAGTTGCGCCGAGCTGGTGCTGTCCTTTGTTTATTAGCTCAATGGCGCAGTGATTTTGCCTTGGCTCTTAAGTTAGCTTTCGTATCTTTGGAGTTTATGCCAAAGGGCAGTTTTATGCGCGATGGGGGCATCACGTCATGCCCTTCATGATATTGGGCTTCTTTATATATCTTTGGGCCTCTAATGGGCCTACTATATTTTATCCAGATCAGTTGCCCCCTAGCTTGCAATTTTGACATGTGGCAAAACTGTGAGGTATATATATATTTGTGCGTGATAGATTTCTTTGGCGCGGTTATATGTTGCTGTGATAGCCATGTTGAAATGTCATCTTGATTTTTAGCCGCTTAAGAACAGTGGATTAGACGTTAATTGTCAGAAGCATTAAATACTATTGTAATTACGTGGGTGTTTTATGGGTAAGTGTGGGTTGTTTTGAAGTGCAAACGTTTTACCTTCTTCCCACGTGTCCCTGTAAAACCGTTTAACTCAACACGTTTTGTGACCTTCGGAATATCCGTTTGATAAAGTTTTCATATTTGTACTGAGCTATTCGGTTTGGAGGGAAAACTTGTCATTGTAACTATAGGAGATCCTTTGTTCCTCAACATTCGCTTACTGCCTCTGCTTTTCCAGTGTTGACACGTCCTGCTCATAGTTTGATTCATCTGAAGTATAAATCTCAGGTATGCTTTTCGTGATTTTTAACTACCTCATCTGTTTCATCGTTCTACTTTGTGCTTGGGTATGTCTGATAATCGCAAATTTGTAAATTTTATCAGATTATCCGAACGGTCTGGCTCGTCCAATCCTCCCTCTAGATTGTTACCTAGGTCAAGGTCGTTGGTAACCAGGGAAGCGTGGCTTACTGACAAGTGTGTCGCGCCCTGTTCAAAGTTTTTGTGAATGATAGCAGTTTCCCTTTTGTTCGTCGACTTGAATTTGTTTCGTCTTCGCGACAACCTGATCGCGAAAACGCGAAAACTCTTTCTCAACAGAGTTCATATTTGTTTCCAAAGATTTCCTTTAGAATGACTGGTCCTATTTTGATTTCAAGTGATTCTTCTTCGAGTTCTGAATGTAGTTATAGGTCTGTTAATACAGTAACCCTAGATCGTCCTCTTCAAACTCATCGCGCGATACTTCATCTCCTATCGCACAAGATTCTTGCAGTCATAAGAGTCACAGTCCCTTACCTTTAAATGTAATATACCCAGCAGGATATCCTTTTAAGAAAAGGAATTTTGATAATTATAAATCTGCATTTGATGTCTCTGCTTCCTCTAACTCGTGTTCCTCTACTGATTCTTCTTCTGAATCAGATTTCATTTCCCCCCAAATCAAGGAAATTATGGCCAGACGTGGTGCTGGTGAGAAGAAAAAGCAAAAGCTGAATATCGATACAAAGAAGAAAGCATTACAAATTAATCCCGAAGGAGAATCCCCGGTCAAACATAATCTTCGAGATGAAGAATCCCTAATGTAAGAACCCGCACCGTTAATTAAGGAAGTTAATTAATTAATTATGATAAATTAGGAAATAATTCCATAATTGACCCTAATAATTATTATGAGCAAGGTAGTGAAAATCGAGATTTTACCTAAAATCGGAAAGGGAATAAAAAATCGTAAATCGTAAAATCGTAATAAAAATCGTAGATTTTACCTGCACTCTAAAATTAAATTTTTATATGCATATGCTTATGTATAAAAACAATTAAGAAAAAATAGACTACCTGCCACCATCCTTATACATTTGCATACAATTGTCACACTCTAAGGGTCTAAGCTAATAAATCATTCAAGTTATTATCATCGAAGACATTCTGTTCCACGTGATCTTCATCATTCAAAATTGTCTTCATCTAAACTTTCATCATGAGATAAAGTTCTTTCATTTTCCACAATCCATTCATCTTCGGATGAAACATCAGCAATGTTATATTCAACAATTTTTCTAACTTGCTTAAAATCATTCCAATAGTTAAAATCGGGATTTAAATCTTAAAATCGGGACTTAGGTTAATGTCTAAATCGGGATTTTATATTGGAAAGGATTTTAAGTGAAATCTAAACTGTTTTAGCAAAAATAAATCGTTAAAATCGGGATTTTAAGATTTAAATCCAGATTTTAACTACCATGATTATGAGGCTTAAACAATTATGGTATGTGTTTATTAAAGCTGAAAGTCGCTTTTCTGACGAAAGGTGCAGATACCGGTTCTGCTACTCGGTATAAATGCGTACCGATAAAGTATCGCGGAAAATTATAAAAAGTCTGTATATGTCACTAGAATAATATATAGGACTTGTAAAACAAGTTTCAAGTTAAAATAATGAGAATTGGTGCCAGAACTGATACTGGCTATGGAAAAGCGCGTACCGAAAATGTGTTGCGAAAAATAAAATAAAAATTTGATAAATCTTGGTGAGTTTTTGGTGCTGACTTTTGGTTTGGTGAAGTGTGAAGCCATTATCTTGGTAGTTGAAGCTCTAAGTGTCAACCTTTGTGAAGAAAAACCAAGCCTCGTGTGCCATTTTCGTGCACCTTGAGGTCTGGACTTTGGGGGCTGTTTGTTGAGCTCCATGAGCTTTTGCTACTCTGTTTGAGTCTTGGGTAAGTGTGACCAACCATGACCTTGTGTTTCCTTTACTAAAAATGAAGCCTTGATGCATGTAACAAGCTAAAGATCATAACTTAAGGTTGGGTAAGGTTAAACACACCTTAAATCGCATGTTTGAGCTTCTGTATGCATGAAATGAACCACCTTTGGGAAGGATATCTCGCGAAATGCAGAACTGCATTCTGTCGCGAAATATCCGGATATGGATATACAGATATTAACATCCAGATATGATATCCGAATATTGATATCCGGATATGAGGATCTGAATATCCGGATATTGATGTCCGAATATTGGCAGAGAGATATCCGGATATTGATATCCGGATATGCCCCCGACATATATCCGGATATTCTGGGTTTCCGAGAATAGTAAAGGTATTGTTCATACAGAATGCTATTTTGGGTTTGTGGACCCATGATTGGCTACTGTGGACTTCTGTAACAATTAATGTAAGGCAGAATCTAAGTGATTAAGGGCTTGCGGCTTTGTGAGAAGCCTAAAGACGTAAAACGTAAAGGAAAGGCGTTGTCTTTGTGTCTTATGCTTGTTAAGTCTGATTATTGATATATTGCTTGTCCGAAACAGATTGTGATCCTGCTTTGTTTGGGCTATGATGTAAGAACCCGCACCGTTAATTAAGGAAGTTAATTAATTAACTGTGTGAAATTAGGAAATAATTCCATAATTCACCCTAATAATTGTTATGAGGCTTAAATAAATATAGAAAGTGGTTAATAATGCTGAAAGTCGCTTTTCGGATGAAAAGTGCAGATACCGATTCTGCTAGTCGGTATAAATGCGTGCCGATAAAGTATCCCGGAAAATTATAATAAGTTCATGAATATTCCTAGAATAATATGTAGGACTGTGATTCCAAGTTTCAAGTCAAAATAATGAGAACTGGTGCCAGAAATTGATACTGGCTATGTAAAGCGCGTACCGGAAAGGTGCTGCGAAAAATAAAATAAAAATATGATAATTCTTGTAAAATTGAGTAGGTTAAGAATCCTGAGTTTGGGATTAATATGCCAAGCGTAGCAATTAAAGTTAATACTGTGTGTTTTAGTGTTAAGTGACTATATATATGCTTGTTAGCACAAAACCCTAGGCATTCAGTTATTTCCTACGTGAAAGGGTGGCTGACCAGCTTCTCTAAACCTTGTCCATGGGTTCTCTTCTCCATTTTTGAGACCAAGTTGCTATCTTTTCTTGATTTATTCACACTTCCTCCTTGTAAACACTTGTGTGTAGCCTTGTGAGGGTGTGTAGCCTTGTGAGGGTGAAAGGCAGCCTTTTCTGGATGGCCAGCTTCTGTGTGTGAGTTGTGAGGGCTGACTTCATGGCTTGGGTTGGTTGAGAGCTTGTACTTTATTCTTGTTGGCTCAAGAAGCCATTTTTGGTGAGGAAAGAACCTTGTTGTTCTTCATTTTCGTGTTTGGACCAAGTCAGAATCTTTAGGAGCTTCAAGTGAGCTCCAAGTGCATTCCCTTGCTGAGATTGAAGCTTGGGTAAGTTTCGCCAACCTTGATCATGTGTTTTATTGAGTAAAAGTGGAGTCTTTCCATGTTTAATAAGTTAAACAAGTATGTAATCTATTTATGAACTTAAAAGAGGTTAAAAATGCATGCTTGGACGTTCTTAATTGGTAAAAGTTGGGCCTTTGATGGATATCTTCGCGAAATGCAGAAACTGCATTCTG